AGAGAGAGAGAGAGAGAGAGCAACACCAAAATGGTTCAGGTCTATACATTCTTACGTCTAGGTTCAGGTTCAATTAACTCACTCTGGCAATTCGGTTTAATGGTAGAGGCAGGAAGAAGATGGGGAGGATGTGAAAGAGGAGGAGAAGGGAGGATGAGGAGGAGAAGCATGGATATAATATACTTCTGGTTCAGCTTATATTTAACGCAAGGAAGAAACAACAACTACAACAACAACAACAACAACAACAACAACAACAACAACAACAACAACAACAAACAACACCAACAAAAACGACAACGACGATCACGACGACGACAACAACAACAACAACCATACCAACAACAACTACAACCGCAAACTCGCTTTTATTTAGTCCACACTGTAGGCCTACGCTACCTGACTTTCTCATGAACCCTGCAATAAATACGTGTGGGCTACATCAATTTGGACTATACGTGATCTATGGCATCCCTGACTCACATACTGTATGTGATGGGCTCATAAGGCTACTTAGAATTACAAAGTTCGATCTGACATTTTTGGCCGTTTTGAGTTACTAAATTATAATAAGACCATGAGGTCAAATCCTAAATTTTAATTGTGTTCTACCTGTTCTATCAAATCTCTAGATTTTTAAAAGTCATTATTAAGGTATTCAAAGAATTGCATTTTAAAAAGCTTGACTTGATGTGAAACTCCAATTTTTTGCGTCAAATTTCTCAAAACTAGGTTATGAACAACAGATAGAACTTTGTAATTCTAAGGTTGCAAGTAGTCTGGGTGTGTTGAAGCTTTCTTAGACACGAAGGTTAACCATTTCGAAGACGGCACACTTGGCTCGACATCTCAACAGGACACGGCCTTGGCTCGAAATTATAGGCCTAGTTTCAAACAGGGAAATTTTAGCGCCCTCCTTTATGACCTTATGCAGTTGCGAGCGTCGTAAAACTGTTACTGAACCAAGTATAGAAAAATGTGTGTTCGTTAATTCTGTCGTGGTCTGACAAACACATTGTTCTCAAAATCAAGGTTTCGAGATAATCGCGATTTAGTGTCTTAGCTAATTAAACAAACAAATAACAATGTTGTTTTTGTTTGACTTTCCCACATGAAGATATATCTCATTAATCATGACTATACCAAATTTAATCGAATTTGAGCTAAAGACAAACAAACCAATACGAAGATTGCGTTTTATCTCATCACCCTTGTAGGAATGCGTTTTACTTTCAACGCATTAATCCCATAATGATCTGATAAAACGCATTTATTTTCTGTAAAACGCAGTCGTAAGACGGATTTATGATTCCCTGGCGTACATACTGTATGTGATGGGCTCGGTGGCCTAGTGGTTTGGCTCTCGGACTCGCAACCGTAAGGTCGTGGGTTCGAATCCCGTAAGGGGTCCGACGTTGTGTCCATGGGAAAGGAACTTTGCACAAATTTTCCTCACTTCATCCAGGTGGAAATGGGTACCCGGCAATAGACATTGAACGATCTTGTCAGTTTGATAGTGTTTGAGCGCGTGAAACCCGCAGCTTGCGCTGTATGCTTCTGCGGAAGCCGAGAATGTTTCAGAGTGTTCTCAGAGGGTCTGCCGAGGTAATAATAGTTGTAAAGCGCATAGAGCAGGCTCTTGAGCATGGATATGCGGTATATAAATGCAATTATTATTATTATTATTATTATTATTATTATTATTATTATTATTATTATTATTATTATTTTATTATTGTTATTGTTATTATTCTTTCACCTACGCACCGTTATTGTTCCAGGGATATGTTCGTCTACTCCTGATGTAAGGACTTCAGTTGAATGCATATCTTTACAACGCATTGGCCTTTTCTTTACCTGTACATTACACAGAAAAAAACCTCTGAGAGGTTAGAAAGAAGAGGAGAGAGAGAAAGGGAGAGAGGGGTGGGGAGAGAGGGGGTCAGACAGACAGGCCGACAATCAGACCGACAGAGAGAGAGGGGGAGGAGAGGGGAGAGAGAGAGAGAGAGAGAGAGAGAGAGAGAGAGAGAGAGAGAGAGAGGGGGGGGGGAGTGAGTGAGAGAGTGAGAGAGAGAGAGAGAGAGAGAGAGAGAGAGAGAGAGAGAGAGAGAGAGAGAGAGAGAGAGAGAGAGAGAGAGAGAGAGAGAGGTGTGGGGTGGGGGTGACCAGAAACATGGCAGGATACCTGGAACTTAACCAGCCCGATCTTTCTAACATCCAATGGCAGCCCTGTCTTTATAGACGAAGAGGCAGGAAATGTTAACTACAACCATCCAACCATTAATGTTTATCGTCTAAGGATCACCATTTTAATGCATTTTAATGACAGTCTCAAACCTATACAAATGTTAACTGATCCTTGTCACAAGCTGTCTAACCGGTTCGGCGAGTAGACTCGAAACATTGTGGTAGACCGCTTACAAAACCATTTCCCAAACTGGCAAGGCGGTATAACATCGCCAACTGAACCAGAATCATCTAGGTAGACCTTCCAGTTGCCGGAGCAGTTGTGCAGCACAACGTCAACTAAACCAGCGTTGTAGATCTTCAACTAAGCCGGCACCATTATATTAGCTCGTAACACGGTTTAATGAGGCGCGCGCCAGTTTTTGCACAGATAGAGTTATTATATTATCATCTTAAAGCTTGTTCATTAATTGTTTTTCATTTGGCGAAAAAAAATGAACATCGATCGATCTTGAATAAAAGTTGAGATATATGCGATTGAAAGATCGCCTGGTATCCACCCTTGGTAGTTTTACAATCGATCCGAGTACTGTAGGCTTTGGCCGCCTCCCGGGCAAAATTCAAAATTTTATTGATTCCTACCAAACTGAAAATGTTTAATGTGACCTACTCTCCCATATAACCTTATGCAGTTGCAAGCACGGTAAAACAGTAACCAAAACAAACTCGGGTTTCCTGAGTGATTTTTCCTCAGCATTTAATACAATTCTACCACAAATATCATTGAAAAATTAAGTCTGAGAGTTATCATTATAATATTGCAGCATGGGTCCTGGAATTTCTGACAGGCTGACAACAATAATGATTATGTTAAGCTGAACAACACAAAATCTGACACAACCCTTTGTAACACCGGCGGTCCTCAGAGGTGTGTTTTGTCACCAGTTTTGTATACAACATATACCAACGACCATAAATGTAAATATAAAACAACACGATGACTTCGCTAATACTGGATTATAAACCTTGATGAAAAAGAGTAATTCGAAAAAACGTGTATGTTTTTAAAATGGTGCTATTCAAATTTTCTAAAATGTGAACCTCTTAAAAACCAAGGAAATGATTTTTTATTTTCAAAGAAAAAAACCACAACAAAAATCCCACCACTCGTAATTGAACAAAAAACAATTGAAATCACAGATTCATACAAACACCTTGGTCTTACAATAGACAAAAAATCTACCTGGCAAAATCAGGTAAACAATAATGTTAAAAAGGTAAATCAGAGGCTGTACTTCCTGAGGAAGCTAAAGTCCTTCAATCTGAATCCATCCATCCTTCAGATATTCTACACCATCACAATTTTTAAAAATTGATAAATTTTGGTATCTTATTCTACGGTGGCGATTTGGGAAGACAGCACATCATAAAAATAAACAAGTTGATCAGAAAGGCACAAAAAACAATTGGTAGAGACCTAAGTAAGTTTGAATACCTGTACAAAACAAACGTTCTAAAAAAAGGCGGAAATAATGCTGAGAGACCATTGCCACCCGCTGACATCGGAATTTCAATTATCAGCCCGCAGTAAACGAAACATTTCCAAAAAAAGCAAGAACAGACAGAATACTCATCCGTACCAACTGTAGTGGGGTTAGTGAACACACTGTGCTACAATTAATGAAACAGAGAGAGAGAGAGAGAGAGAGAGAGAGAGAGAGAGAGAGAGAGAGAGAGAGAGAGTCTGCTCTGTGTGTGTGTGTGTGTGTGTGTGTGTGTGTGTGTGTGTGTGTGTGTGTGTGTGTTTTACGGAGCAGGTTGTCTTAACACGTGAGACATGTATTTACTAAAGTCCTGTCTTGTTGTGCGAATGCGTGAGAACACCTAACCTTCGTAACATCCACTGCCATTGTAAACGACCATGATAAATTTCTCCTTGCGAGATAAATAAAGATTGTCATTGTCATTGTTATTTAGCGCACTTGTCTGTCGTCACCGTTTTTCACCTCACTGAGAACCTGGCCAGCCATCAATGCCGTAGCCAACCGTGCCTGTACTAGGCCCGACTTCACCACTGTATCTCTGACGGTCAGCAGTTGACAGTGTACATCTTCTTGCTGTGAGGCACGGCTGTGTCATTCAAAGGACCACTTACAAGACTTAGAATCTAGATATAGTGTTGCGTCCAAGTTGCTCGGGCTCCGGCGTCTTTGCACGATGCGATTCGTACAGTTTGATTTCAACGGCCGAAATGGGCTAGGAGTGGAACTTTCCGAGGGTGGGGACATTGTGGATCTATCTAGCAATGATTCCTCAATACCTTCCAATATGAGGGACTTTATTGGAGGAGGTCAAACACTTATTCAGAAAGCCGCTAAGTAAGCAAAGTGTGGCTGTTACTGTTAAGCAGATCTCTTGTTATAGCTATGTTCCCTTATTCAAGGCTTTTCAATCTGTAGTCAAGTTCAAGACAGATTTTCCTTCTCTGCATTGGCCATCCTATTTTGACACGAGTCCAACTGTTTGATGTATTATTTTAAAATGTAATGAGGGGAGCGGCCTACATAAATGTACTATGGTTATTAAATAAGTTTCCTCTGCCCCTGAAAGAAAGGCGAAAGTAGTCTAGCATGCACTTAGCAAAATCAGCGCGACATAGAAACCTTTCGCTATGTAAGAGTTTTGCTATGTAGGTCAACATATTTTAAATAGGTACAAAGAAGGAACACATTTGACCTGAAAATCTTTTTGCTATTATGCTTGTTTTGCAAGATGCGTGTTCGCAATATGCGAGCTAGTCGCTGAACCTGTCTTATTCAAAGCACCTTCTATCTTAACGACAAGTTCAAAAAGTGCAGCGTCATCCTTGTGTATTTTGCCTAACACCACCACTATCACTGAGTGTCTCAGGGGCTCATTTGACGAAACGTGACTTTATCAATCTGTGTGAGTGTATGTGTCTATGATCTGTTTGCTAAATGATCCATAGTGGGAGATTCGTGTCGTAATTCTGGTGAACGGAGGGCGTCTCTTGTAAGTCCCACTTCTTTACCATCTTTCTATTATTTCTGAGTAGGTGTCTTCGTTTTCCCAAGCATTAAATGGCTGGTTGTAGTATCAATACTATGTCTGTTATGCTTCTCCATAAATTAAATAAATGTTAATAATGGGTATGATGATTGATTCTTAGAGTAACTTATGTCCCTGCTTATGGCTTATGAGTGAGTGAGTTGGTGGGAAAGACTGCATTTCCCCCCCAATATCTCCCCAGGGCTGTAGAGCGTGGTGAAAACGTCTTACAAAGGAGTCAGGTGAAGCTGTTTGCCCCTATCCTGAACCCCGATAAACTGCTGGGCATTGGAATGAACTACGTCGACCACTGCGCGGAGTTGAATGTGCCAGTGCCAACTGTACCTGTTGTGTTCTGCAAATTCAACAGTTCTATCGCAGGCCCTTCTGATGATGTTCCTTATCCTGATGAGACAAAGGTGTGCGCCCGTCTTTATTTTTTCAAAGTTAAATAATGCATCAATGTATTCATGATTTATTTTTTAAATTATTTTTCAAAAACCAAACTAAATGAAAGTTGACTAGATCTATTACTGTTAAACACCCTCTATATATCCACCTGAACAGCTAATATCAGTTTTGTTTCGTTTTGAGAATCGCACTACCACATACAATACAACAATTTAAAGAGAAAAAAGTGCTTAAAAATGGCGGTCTTGCGCGTTCATATGACCTTATGCAGTTGCGAGCGCCGAAAAAACTCACACACACACACACACACAGTCAAACTGTCTCTAACGGCCATCACTCTGTCCAAAACAATCACCTGTACAAAACGACCCCCAACACCTTCTGCTTTTTCTTGTTTTTGTTCTTGTTCTTCTTGTTCTTCTTCTTCTTCTTCTTCTTCTTCTTCTTCTTGTTCTTGTTCTTCTT